GAAGAACTTCTAAGTGTAGCTCTAGGCCATCTGCAAAGAGATGGCTCCCCAGGTGCTTTCTTTATTACCGTTCAGCATCCCATTAGGTTCGGCAAAATGTTAGAGTGCATAATTTATGCAAGTCTCTTTAATTGCATTGTTCAGTTCTTCTTAAGTATGTGTTCCTTTTTCTCATTACGATTCAGTATGAAATGCCCAAGGGGGGAGGGAGGAGTGGGGTGTGCATTTAAACTTCTTTTTATATCCAGTATTTCACTGCAAAAAGGAGTGTGGGGGGGAGGGGGGGGATTTTCTCTATTACAGGTGCTATTTCTCAGGCAGCCTGGCAGGCATAGACACTTTACAAAGAGTAAAACCAAATCTTCATACAATTAGCTTGGTGTTCCACACTGTAAGACTGGAGTGTGCCTTAATCAGAAGGGCTAGAAATGGGACATTAAATGTGAACTGCTTCTAGAAACACTGATGAGATTTGCAGAGCTGGCTCTTTCAATGCAGCACAGTTCTCTCATCTCACTTCTGTTCCACTTGTTTAATTGAAACCATTAGTCCTCCGTACCTGGCTGTCCGGTAAGCTATCCCTGTGGTGTGAATAACAAATCCAGGAGGGGAACTGCCTCCCGTTAGGACCAGGACTGAACTGGAATTCCAGCATTTTTTTCTGGAGCTCATTAATCTCCAGCAGATCAGGCAGGAGCTGTCACTGAGCTCTGGCTTAATGAAACCCATCTGAAGTGTAGGAGCATTCTTGAGTGTGGCTTTCAATGTCCGCCTGCTGCGTGGGAGGATAATGCCGGGAGGAATTTATCACCAGGGCGGACTGTCTCGCAGCCCCGTGTGCGCGGGCGATGCTAACTTCAGCTTCAAGTCCAGATCTGACTTTAGGCCACCTTCATCTAACACGGATACAGCTGCCACTGCACTGTCTCATCCCTGCTAATATTTCCGTAGCCTGAAGCTATGCATGTTGGGGAAAGAAAAAAAGGGCAGCCCCACCTCTCACAGCCTCGAGCTATCATGCTGCAGAGTTTAGCACAGACAAACAGCTTTTTAATCGCACAGCAAAGCCTGTGACAAGATAATGAGAACCTCTCCTTCTTGCTCCTTGTTTCTCCTGCAGGAACATTGTCTGCTTCACTGTCCTCCTCATCACCAGCAGCACCTGTGCACATGACCAGAGTAAAGGGCAAAGAGGTAGGCCTCTCGCACATTCATTTCATAGCCATATCAGAACAGAAACTGAGAAAAAACAGACCATAGACTAGCTTATAAGACAGCTATACACAAGACCGTTTATTATAACAGTCCTTGCACTAGGAACAGGTGGGAAACTGAGAAACAGTTTATATGATGGAAAACCACTCTTCCAATTGTACCAGACGGGCTTCCATAGTATGAATATGCTTTTACAGTGTTTACTCATTACATAAGACAGGTTCAGCTGAGATTAGTTTTCAGAATATAAATCACACTTTACTGGCGCACACTCGGTTTTACTAATCACCTTTTCGGAATCAGAGTGATAAAGCTGAGTGGTATACAAGCAGGTGACTCTCTTACACTGCAACAGAGGTGGAGCCAAATGCATTTAATCAAGATACTGAAGACCTGTAAAATAAAAGTCTAGGTTAAACGCAGCTCTGACATGATAAGAGACAAGCTAAACCACGCATCTGAACTGCAACAACGTGCTCCTTCCACAAGAGAGGAGGTTAAATATTCAGATTAACTTGCGCTGTTCTTCAAAAAGATTTTTTCTTTGGCTTCAGGACAAAGAATTCCCAAACTGCGGGTCTTTATTGATGCGGTGACCTGGGGAATGGCATGTTCTGAAGTAGGAGGGGAGGGCACATGTATCGAGAGCGATCAAAGACAACGTTCAGGCGCTGTGCAACACTAAGATAAGACACTTCCCCTGCATTATTTATTGAGCCTGATGCTAATTAGCATTTCCAAGCAACTTGGGAGCAAAGGAAAATCACTGAAAGGGAGAAATGCAATCACACAATGTCAAGATGAATGACGGTTGTCGGGAGCATACCTTTGCTTGCGATGCAGGACTTGAGAACGGAAAGGTTTGTAGCACAAGTGGAGACTGTTGCTCATAACGTAAGACTGCTAATGGAATACCACTCTGCACACAGAGCGGACATTAATCTTCAAACACGTGCTCACCAACCAAACGGGAATACTGTGCAGATGTCATGGTTGCTTGGCACAGAGTTTCTAGCACAGTTAAAACGCATCCTGCCAAACTAGCGCTGTCACTTACAGAGACATCTAACCAACTAAAGCAAAAATCATCTACCACCTATAAAAAGTGGAAAGCAAACTGTAGATTAAAAAACAGCTTAATTCATATCCCAACCACCAATAACGGACATACCTGTGTAGTTTGGTCTGACTTGCTGTAGGGTTTCACAATGAGAAACACGAGAAGAACAAATATTCAGAACATTATACTGGACACACATAGTAGATATGTTAACAAAACAAGGCACAAATATGTCTGGACTGTTGTCATCAGCTGTTTCAACAGAAAGAAAAAAGACGACAAAACGTTTAGTTTCAGACTGAGTTTCTACAGGACGCGCAACTCGTGGGAATTAATTAAAGAATTTCAGTGGGTAGTTTTCAAGGCAGCACGACAAAGGAAGCAGGACACTGTTAAGCTGGCTTTAAGATCCTTAATGATCTAAGGACTTGACAAGTTAGAGGACCAAGCTATTTCACTCCTTTAATTACTCATTTATGCCTGGTATTTATTATACACTCTCTCTGCTACACTATTTTTTAGTGTATATATTATGTAAAGTGCCTTGAGGGTAATCTGCACCGAAAGGCGCTATAGCGGAATAAAACTGACTGATGAATTCTATGTATATTGGATACATGCGTTCATGACAGAACATCCAGCTGTGTAAACACAAGCTGGATAGCGGAATCCCCAGAGGAAACAAAGACAACAAGGATCTCTGCATCTCAGGACCACAGAGTGCAGCAAAATGAGACATGACGAACACTTTATTTTAATCAAACAACATCCTGCTCTACACAGGAACACACGGTGTAAATAGGCAATGAAGGCCGGGGATCAATACCTCTGCTTTTAGAAAGTCATTTTCTGAAATGGCAGCGCTACATCTTGCTGCATCTTACAGAGTGCTACTGGTAGCAGCATGTATTTACATCTCTGGTATAATACCTTAATTAAGTATTACACAAGCAGCTGCCTCGTCGTGCTGTGGGAGCACAGAGCTGCAGTTCAGTGTCCTTGCCATGGGGGCTCTTTCTTTTACAGTCCAGGCCGTCCCACTGAAATTGGTCATGCGTATCGGGGGCCGTCTCTGGGAGCAGTTTCCCCAATATGTCAGAGTCAACCCGTCTTTGCAGCCAAGATTTCATCTTTTACTATTCAAAAGACACAAAGTTAAACAAGCTCACGACAGAGGCAGAGAGGCCTTCATTAGTCACCCTTTTTCTCACCTTGTTCCTGTCGGAGAACCATGGATCTATTTCATCTTGTGCTTTTTGTTAACCTCAGATAGCAGGTCAACCGTAAGCTTGAAACCTGTTATCTTATGGGAATAGTTCTATACCTGATTGTTATGTGAAATATGTTGAGGCCAGCGTGTAGAAATTAGATATTGCAAAATACCACACCAGAAAATAAAGCTGTAGGAAAAATGGATTTCTGACCATATGTGTCACAAAATTGGAAAAGGTTAGAAGAGTAAAACACTTTGGGAACTGATCAAAATAACAGTCTCATTACAATATATAAATGCTTACCTATATTCCAATTAAACTGTCAGATATCACTATATTATAATAGTTCTTCAAGTAACCATATATGCAGTGCTAAACACAGCAACAATACCAACAATATGTATAACATTGAAACTCTTCTGTTTAAACTACTGTAATTGTTCCAGGCGCACCAGGAGTCAGAAGCCACAGGTTAATATTCCTGAAGCTCTGTCTTGAGACAACTATTGTTTGCAACCAGAAACTTTCATTGACAGACAGGCATAAACAGAGAGCAGAGAGATCCCAAAATCAAGCTGTGCACGGTTCTATAATACAGGTCAGCCGTACTAAAAGGGCACATGAGAACCCCAGAGAAAGAGCTGGTGACAGGCAGGCTGTCAATGGCAACATGTGTGACAATGTGAGAATACTTGGAATGATCAAACACAGCAGACCCTGTAAGCATGACAGACTAATATCAATGAGCTGGTAATTATGAACCTTAATTAGAAGCTGAAGAAACCCTACCTTAAGGATATGTTTATTGGCAAGGAGTTATTATGCAGCAGGCAGCATTTTAAAGCCCCTTGCCAAGCAGCATTCAAACACTCAAAAAACAAAACAAAAATGAATAAACCCTCTAGTACTTTAGGCACAGATACTGGCAGGGAGAATAATAAATAGTCTGAGCTTTGGGAGGGGGGACCTTGATTGTCAGGCTCAGCCACTACACCGTTGCAGTGATTCATCTTGTAGAAATGCATATGCAACTGCCGGCGTGCTGAACAGAACCCAGCCAAAATAAAATGAGCAGCTCTGACCTGGACAGTCAGTGGTACAAGTGGAAAGTGCCAAACAAAAACCATGAAGGGTCTGTGCAGAGGCTGACATTCTGCATCATAGAGAGGGAAGCGGGCGGCACAATGGTGAGCATTGCTGCCTTGCAGCACAGGGCCCCCCGGGTTCAATTCCAGACCTGAGGTGCTATCTATGTGGAGTTTGCCTGTTCTCCCTGTGTTCACATGGGTTTCCTCCAGATGCTCCAGTGTCATACTGGTAGGTTAACTGGCTTCTAGGAAAACTGGCCCTGGTGTGACTGCATGAGTATTTGTGCATCTCCTTGAACTGGAATAAGCAGTTAGAATATAATAATAATAATAACAACAACAACAACAACAACAACAACAACATCATTTTGATGGATGGAGAGTGGAGTGTCACTCTGTGGTGTCATGCTTGAAAACACTTACCGACAGCAGTCTCCAGGTGATGGGCCGCACCTCCCTGGGAATCCCTGACCAGCTGTGCTTCCTCAGCTCCTCTGCAGACAGAACACATCAGGCAACCGGGTCAATTAACATTCTCTGCTTCAACACACTGATGTAGAGGGAACCACAGTGCTGACATGTAAAGTGCGCTGCCATTGAAGCTTGTAGGCCTGGTGAAGGGCCACTTCCTTTCCATCGTACCGGCAGGCGAGTCAGCTGTCCCAGCTGCCCCACACCCTTAGTTCTAGAACAGCAGTGCATTGCGGCAAGCAGAGGGTAGCAACAGAAAAGGCAGATGACAGAGGACAGAGGCTGACCGATCTTCAGTTCTGTCCTCAACCGAATGGAGAGCATCTCTAATACTATTCAAAGTGACATGCCCACACAGCGCGTTACTGAACCTGAATGCCCACACAGGTTGTGTTTTCTGCGTGACTGCCTTTTCTGACACGGCAAAGAAAACTGTGATGTCTCTGCGCACAAAAATATCAGAAGTCTGTAATTTTTGCAGCTTCATCTAGATTCATCAAAGGAGGGAAAAGAATGAGAAACGGGACACTGTATGATAATCGGAGATTGTCCTGCTGTGCATCAAAAGAAAATATTGCACTCGGAACACACAGTGGAGCACAGAGTTTTACCACCGACGGCAAAACATTCCTCTGCACCAGATCTGAGTGCCTGTTTACGATCCCAGCTCAAATGATATCATGCGCTAACTGAAAAATAAATACTTCCACAACTTCTGAGTAAGGGGTTCTGAGTCCTGCACGAACACTGCAGGAGAAGCAGCTTGCACAGCACACTTCCCAGCTCAGCACATTAATACTTCATCTGGGGGACGATGCCGTACTTGTATGGGAAAAGCAGGCAGCTCCAAACAACCAGCACACCTGACCAGTGATGCATAATCAAACAGCTCCAAGTTTTAAACTTTCAACCAGGCAGCGGAGAATGCCCTTTTCACAGTTGCCAATATCTGAACTCTCAATTGCTTACATACTGTACTTCACAGGAAGTGCATTTAAAACTGAGATCAGGTGCTGGACCTAACAAGCTAACCTGCCATACTGTTGAACTTCATGCTTTAGTTTCTTACATTCATAAAGACAAATGTGTGCACTGTAAAAAGGTAGCAATATTGAAATGAATACAAATATAGTTTCCTCTTCAAATGACACATAAATGTCATTACGGTTAATGGCAATTTTAAAAATGCTGCAATCTCCCAAGGTTTCTCATTGATGACTGGATCATACAGTCAAGGTAATTTAGGCATCTTCAGCCACTTGGCCAAAACATCACCAGCCTGTCATATACAGTACTCACATGCAGAATATGAAGGTGCTCATTTAACTTCTATGCATTGTTATTCTGAACAAATAACAGAAGAATCACCATAACAAACAGCATTTATAAAGGTATTAAGTGTGACTGCATCCAAAGATGCAAATTCAAGCAGTACAGTCTGCTCAGTGTCCTGCATTGGACAGAGCACTCTGGTGCAGAAAAAGCTGCAACAACAGTGACGAATCATCCTGGCAGGAGTGATTTTCCCAGTACTAACGAACGCAATGAACACTTTACATGAAGGCATATCACTGATTATCATTGCATCACTAATCAAACAGTACAGGTGCACTTTTTTGCATAATATAAAAAAAACACTAATCTGCGTCAATGAAAGCTTTATGATGAAAACTTTTTGGATGCTAGTTGATTTTTTAATTTCCATTTAAGGACACACATTTAAAAGTAAAGTAACAGTGAGATCCATTAAACTTCTATTAGAGTGGAAGACTGTTTAAATGCATCGTTTTGCCTCTCCCTCTAGTGTAAGGTGCTGGAATGCAGACACAGAGCAGCTCAGGGGGCTGTCAAGGACGGCACCCCTGTAGCTCCTTCTTTCTCCAGCTTTCTCTTCATCTGCATGAGGAATAATCGTGGAAGGCGAGGAAAGACTTCAGCTGAAACTGCAGGGCGATGGTGGGAGGGTCCCCAGGTACCGAAGATTTCTGTGATCTCTGCTGCTGCCCATGTGAAGACAGCAGAAAGGACACAGCCACTGAGCTGTGCTACGACACACCCTTAGAAGCTTACATCCATTTCCAACAGGCAGGCACAGCGCCGACTGACAAAATGAGAGACTGCTCGCTGACAACAAGAGGGGGTTAATTTAAAGACAACAAAGGCCAAGTATTAAAAATTCACTACTTTTTAGGAGCAGTCAGAAACCCCTGCTTGGGATAATGCAAAGTAATGCTGGTTAATCTGACAGGTGACTGTAAAAGGATGTCAATAATCAGAGCTGTCAATGCCAAAAACAAACCACAGAAGGGATTCTTAACACAATGGTCCAAGCATGCATTCCTTTACTACTCGTGTTCACATAACCTTCAGTATTTCATAATCATAATTTCATCATCGTTATTATTGTCCTTGTGATGGATCTGTAATTATTATCTCCATCATGAAATTATTATTAGCAGCAGAAATCCTATTATTTTTAAGCACACTAAAACAGCATTTTTTATAAAGCAGTAGCCTCAGTAGGAGCTTAGCGTTATTCTAATTATTTTTAGCAATGGTAGTGGTATTACAACAGTATCACTAAGTGACGACAAGATGCAGGGGAGCTGTGCCTTTTCTGCAGCTCTTCTATACTTGCCAGCCAGCTCCCCCTGCTGTCCTCCTCAGAGAAGTGCACGTCACTCCTGTGTCCTGCTGAAGGTGAAGAGTGGACAGTAGGGCATGAGCACAGCCAGCTGTTTGCTGGTTGTTGAGGTATATCCTTGAGCTGGTTTGCACTATTTTTCATTCCTCCAGAGCAGTGGCCTTAGCAGGTTTACTTGGAGATGCAAAAGCCTCAGAAAAAGACCACGGCTTCGCAGACGCTGCTTCAGCTACTATTGCGGCAGAATCACTTACAACAGGGCTTCAGGTTAAACACCTCAGCCAAGCAATACAGCACAAAGGGTTTGGGCTCAGAGTGACGCACAAAGAGCATGTTTAAACTTTACCCTAACCTGGGTTTGTATGTTATGTCTGTGTGCTTCACTGCTTCTTTGTATTAGTAGATCCTGTGTCTCAGTGGGTTAGCTATGCTGTATGTACAGCAGAGCAAATTACCAGGCCTCCATGTTTAGATATAACATACTTCAGACATATCTGGATTTTCTGCAGTCCCCATGAGATCCAATTTTCACTTTTTTACGACGCTAATCAGTGCAATCAAGCCATTTTCCTAACAACTAGGCAGACTTCACTCTTCTCTCCTGTAAGAATATCTAGCATAACAAATGCGAAAAGATATTAAACAGGGTCTGGAGACTGTCTGACAAAGCCTGCTAGAGGGATCTTAATTTAAATGACAGATTGTTATACTAAACTCTTTGGTACGAAGAATTCTTCTCTGGTGCTAATAACTCCTTCCAACTCTCAGGAAAAGTCTGTATATTGTACATCTAGTATTTCTTGGCAGACATTAACAAATGCATTGAAAATTAGAGAACCAGATCTTACCAATGATTAAGCATGTCTTTAAACAGGGTGCATTTAGGCAAGAAGGCCCCTGACAATTCTGGATGGATTGAGACCCCAGTTCGCATGTTCCTCAAAGAACAGAGACCACAAAGGCTGGCTAAGCACATTGTTGGACACGAGGACAACAAGCACTACAAGATTTCCATTTAATGCAGGCACCGGAAGCATACACACTACGAGATGGGAAACATTGAGCATGAGGAAGCTATTTAAAAAAACATTATTTAGATCTACACAGATGTGGAAACCATAAATAAGGCAGTTATGATCTACAACTGAAATGGACAGTAACTTAAGTAATTTTGGCCAATGTTGCAAAACTGAAGTTGCACAATGGAGCTAATAACACCTCATTTAGAATACTGTCCAAAACATGTCTGCTATGGACCAAGGCTTAAGGGAGTATCCTACTCTGACAAGCTTAATTAACTTAACTTTGTTTTAGTCTTCAGCAAAGAAGACCACAAAGACTAATTTAAGTATTAAATATCCTCAAAGGCTTTGATGGGGCTTGCTGCTGGAAACTCAAATCTTAAAAAAACAATGATAAATTCCCATTTGGGTAGGTATATAATAAAAATAAATGACAACTCCAAATTTAGAAAAAAAAGGCCTTTTTGCAGTATGGAAACACATTACTGTAAAAGTCCATAATACAGATTTCATCTAAGTTCTCCACTGGAATCCAGTCATTCATACCTAAAGGGCCGATTCTCTCAGGATGGTAAGAATTTAATCAGCAAGGGCATCAAAATTTAAAATCACGGACAAAATTCAGCGAAGATTTGTGGACACAAAATGGAAAGGCATAATAAAAAGAAAGTTATAAATGTACGATTAAATATAGATTACCCTAATTCGGATTACGGAAATTTGGTTAAATTCCTTAAAACTGTTTTTACTTATTACTTTAACAACAATCTGTGTTAAAAATCATAGCTCTGTTCTCTGGCCTTTCCAAGTCACTGCACGGTACGTCAAAGAATACATGTACCTTGGGTATCATTCAAGTTATGTGAAAAGATTTGCCGACTCAAATCGTTTTAGTGAACGGGCCTGGTGATTAGAGAGCTATCACCTGAACTGCGGTGCGCAGGGTCCCTCCCTCTCCATCTACACACAGTCATTTCACAGGCACTCTGGCTTTGCTGCCGCCCAGCTTCCCAACCTCAAAGGCAAGCGGGCATTGGGATCTCGGGCTGACAGCAGACTCGGGCCCCGCTGCCTGACCCGCCCGCCACTGCGGAGCGGCGGAGGACAGCGGTAATTGGGGCCGCCGCTTCAAATCGGAGCGCTCCCGCAGCGGCTGGAACACCAGTGCGAGATGGCGGGCGACAACTCCCCTGAGGGCTGCGGGGAGGGGGAAAGGCACATGTGGCATTTTGCAATTAATGAAAACTCATAAAAGAGCGAAGGGGAAGGGAAGGACCTGTCAAAACTCAGGAACTGTGCCGTCTTGAAATCTCTGACAATGCAGAGCTCCTGCACCGGGATCCCATAAACGAGCTTTGGTTCATTCTCAAGCATCAAAAATGTAACGACAGCACTGCTTTTCATTTGTAGTATTTACTTGCAGCATCTACTCTGGCCCTAGCACTTTATTACCGAAAAGGTGTTTTGATTCAGAAATGGTAAAACTCTTCTTCACCATATTTAAGTATTCAAGACCCCTGTCATTACTGACTTGCATCCTCAGTATGGTACACTGCAGTATATTCCAACGAAAAAACAGAAAAGATGAACATTGAATTACAACCGCAAAACAGTGTAAAAGATTCTCTTTGCTAAATCACATCCACAGTGCGTTACATCAGGGGCTCCAGAATGACGTATGCACTGTTTCATTCAGGACTGGTGTGAAGTTTGAACTGTCACTCTGGGACTACACAGGTTTTTTTCTGAGTGCTCCTGTTTCCTCCCACTTTCAAAAGACCAAGACTGTGATCACGGACAATAAAGGTTAATTGGAGACTCTAAATTGTCTCCATGAGCTCTGTCTGTGTGTGTGTGTGTGTGTGTTTTTTCCCTGTTGGTGGACTGATCCCCACAAGGGTGTAGTTCCACCTTGTGCCCTTTGCTTCTGGGATTATCTCCAAGATGCCATGACCTAAGCAGCTTTATGATAATGTATACATTGGACCATAAATTACTCTCATACAGTATGTGAAAACCCGCTAGAGTATAGGACATTTATAAAAACCTTTACAGGTTCAGAAATACAAAACACTATTATAGATCACTATCACTACTGAAACTCAATAAAGTATAGTAAACCACCACCTTAACAAAATTACAAAGCTGCATATTACCAACATATATATCGGTAATCAATTCCAACTTCACCTCAGTGCATGACAGAGTACACTTACAGAGTACAGCTGTAGTGAAAGGTAAGGCTACAAAAATGTGTCATTGACTGAGATTAATGAGTCAGAATTACAATACAGCAGCAAAGAAGTTATAAAGTGCAAGATACCTGTAGTTAATGAATCAAAAGTACAACACAGCACATATCTGTAGCTGTTTACTAACAATATTAGTAAAATTAACACTTTCCTAAATCACTATTTTGCCCAACAGTCCAAGCTATACATCACATAACGATGTTACTTAACTGTGTGGTGTTTGGTATTTTTTGCTGGTGCAACAGTTATCTTCTAACTTGGCCCTTTTTAGGCATGAGAAATATTTTTGTTGAGAAATTATAAAGAATGTATACGTATACAAGGATATGCCATCAAAATAATCTCAGAAATATTATAATAAAAGTCAGGCATCCGATAAGATAAATATTGAGAGTGCAAGCTGAAATCAATTATTTGAAAAGAGTAAACACTTCTGTTCAAAGCCTGGAATGCGTGTTTTTCAAGCACATCTGTTAGTTGGTGTCGGCCAGACTGCTCGAAGGCGTGGAAGCTGCTGATCTGGTTTGGATCCATCTTGTAATGCAGGGTGTTAGTTAGAGATTTTATTAACAGACGCAACAGCTAAATAGCTTGCAAGTATAGCTAATTTTTTAAAGCAATAGATTGAGTGACTGGAGTGGCAGTTTTTGACAAAGGACAGACATCTTAGAGGAGAGGCAATGTCTGTGGGATCTGTAGGAGGGCAATGAGGGAACTCACCCCAGAGCATTCTGAACTTGAAATTTTTTCGATTGTGTTTTATTGGGTCAACTTACAGAAGCAGTGCTGAGGGGCTGGGTGAAAAATGAGAAGAGTTCAGCGCTGGAGAGATTAAATGATCATAACCAAAGCCGGGTCGGCATTAGGAAAAAGCCAGAATCCAGGCTGAAAGCACTTCAACAGCAGTCAAATCCTGAGTTAACAGGTAGGAGGGCCCGAACTGGTATCCTTAACTCTGGTCTGCAAGCACTGTCTTCCAACCGGGCTTGGGGGACTCTATAAATCACCCTTAAGACATAAGCAAAAGGGTTAGAATGGTCCAGTCAAGCAAATAATGAGTTCAGTTAAATCAGTTAGATGTAATGAAAGCCAGAGGACCGTGTGTCCCTCAAGGACCAGTTTTAAGAGCCCACGGTTACCGATGGAGTCTGCAATCAGAGAAAATTGTTGGAAAGTGACAAGATTTCTTCCCCTTCCCCCCACACACACGATGCTGGAACAGTAATTGCAAATCAAAGAGATGAAGCATGGAAAGGCACTGCAGAAATCTGAGCTGCTGTCTTCCGACACTTACCCAGGTCAGTGTTCGGGCTGGCCAGCAGCTGCCTGAACTTCTCCAGCCGGCTCTTCTCGCGCACAGTCATGGGAGGAGCCCCCGAGGCGTTCTGGTCGGAGATGCGGGCGATGAGGGGAATGATGGGCCGCAAAGGCAGGGACTGCTGTTTGTGGAGTGTGTTCCGGACTGGAGGGCCTTCTGGAAGACAAAAGTAAAGGCCACGGTCAGACAAACAGTTCGCATGCAGTGTCCAAAGTGCGTTGCTTTTTCATTATTTTGACATTCTTCACCCCTGATTCTCAAATCCTTTCAGTCCACCAAATTCACAACACATTTGAACATACTACAATATTCCGCATAAAAGTACTTATCTGCTGTGTTTGTACTCAATGTCTAGATATATACCTCAATTGCTCAATGAATACAAATCCTAGCAGTTTTCCATGATGTGTATTCAGTATATTTCATTGTCTTTTATCCATTTTCAATTATTTTCTGCTTGACAAGGAAAGGGACTGCCAGTGTGTGAACAGGCCTGCTCCTGACAGCGGAGGAAGAGCGAGGCATCCCAGAGGACTCTGGGTAGACATGAGGACTCCCGTCACACTACAGGTAAATGAAAGACGAGAGGAAGAACTTCTCAAGACAAACACTGACCTTCAAATGTTGCGTTAAACAAAGAAATCTGAAGAGAACATTACAAATTCTGTGAGTGCTTTTTTTTCTCTGTACTGGCAGATGAAAGAAGAAAAAAGGACAGGAAACCCGAGAGTCAAAAATAACTCAGAAAAAGTCTATATATTTTTAAGTGGAATGGCTGCCTAGAGAATCTTTACTTATTTAGTGCTGGGAAGCACGCTCACATGTCAATTTCTTCACTCGTTGCAAATTTTAAAAAATTATGCTATATATCAATGCTTCAAAGGGGAAATACATTTTTAATGGACAAGTACTGAATGCTGGCATTAATATGGAGAAGACAGAGGCTTTGCAATTCCTTACCAGCCTGTGATGATATGGCTACTGTATGCTCAGTTAAAAAAATGTTTATCAGTCAATAAACTCAGTTCTGTTTATATTTTTCCTGCTACATATGTCCTTTTTAAACCATAATGAATGCTTTTTAATCATTCAAAGAAGCATAACCACCAGATCTCATCGGAACTGGGATGCTAAGCAAGGCTGGGCATGGTCACTACAGGGATGAGTGAGGCCTAATGAAAACCATCTTACTGCTGTAAGGGGTGCTTGTCGGTACACCAGGTGCTGCTCTTCCCTCCGGACCAGAATTTCCAAACCAATACTCCAGCGTGGTGGTCTGGAAACACTCTGCTTTAGGAGGGCGCTTCTTCAGGTGAGATGTAAACCCAAGGTCATGACTGCTTCAGGCCACTGGCAATGATTGTAACAGAAGGCATTGACCCAAGTGTCCTGGCTATATTCAGCTTCAGGCTTGCTCAGCCTTGCAGACCTACATTTCACACTTAATTCAAATGGAGAAACAGACTCTCCCCTTCTCCACCTGCTACTTCAAATGGAAACTGCAACCTGACAGGCACACTTCTACAATGGCATCTGTAAGCTGACAATATCCCATGCAGGGCTAGGGGTGGGGGTACCTGGCATTAAACATCTGCTGCTGCTCCAAGGGGCAGCAGAGGTAGTGCCACCCCCTCCCTTCTGCTCCACTGCCCCTTTGCCACCTTTCACCAGTCTTCCTGTCAGAGCCATCTGCCTGTGTCCGGCCTCCAGACCTCCAGCTAGAGCCAACAGCAAACCCTCTCCACAAGCCACAGCAAGAACACATGGCCTCTAAAGACTGCCAAGCACACAGCCTTCCTTTACAGGACAGCCCAGTGCCCCTTGAAACTAGAGGTGTTACCTGTAGTTCTTTGGGTCCAATATTAATATTCACTGTCATGCAATGTAAAAATGCTTCATATACTTTTCAGCTGGAAGCAACATGAAAGAATACATGTGTATGAAAAGAACTGACGCATATAAGCAACCACACACTAAGCCTTGATGCCTCTTCCTCAGCATGGAATTGCAATTTTGTGATTGTTTAATTATACAATTAAAAAAAGAAATTGGCACAAAGAAGAATGTTGCTGTAGTGACCCGATGTGACCACTACATTTCAGGGTGAATGGCGAGATTCCAGATTCCTGCTAAAAGGTTTTACAGAAAAATGTTGCCTCATTGAAGGAAGCCCATCACCTTTAGTTGTATAATGACAATACAAAATACTGATGCTGGTATTTCACTCCTTTTTTCTGCAAGTAACCTGGAGATGCAAGGGCATGAAGTCAGGACATAAAACTCACTGTATCGACCAAACGCAAGAGTTATTCCCCAAACCACTGGGGCCAGGCTGCAGCCCTCACACTGCTGGCTGTGGCTCCCTACATGGCTGCCAACCACAAGTCACTGGCACATTCTTTTCAGCTGCTTCTTATTACAATAAAACTAAAACCACTCATTAATTACTTAATTAGTAACTGTATCCCTGCAAGCCGTCATTAAAGCAACACCCAGGCAGGCAGAGGAAGACAATGCTCTTCAGTAAGTGATGTGTGGTGAGCGTTCTGGCGCACTATGGCTGCCGTCGCATCATCCAGGTGGATGCTGCACATTGGTGGTGGTGGAGGGGAGTCCCCATTACCTGTAAAGCGCTTTGAGTGGAGTGTCCAGAAAAGAGCTATATAAGTGCAAGCAATTATTATAATTATTAATTCAGCACGTTTCTCCAACTTCCAACAGGTGGAAGCCATTCTGCCTCTTTGTGTGCACTGCATTTCGAATGAATCAAGCAGGCCTTGCATTCACTCGGGCATTGTTCTATGCCGGTTTGAATCCAGGAAAGATTTGCAATGCAGGCCAATTAACACAGAGAGAAAACATTTGCTGCATCAAAGCAAACACACTGTCGTGTGATAATATGCAAAGTCGCACATAATGACATGCAAAAGCTACAAAGGACTGAAACAAAAGCTAAGAAAAAAAAACTTTTGCAACTGACAGGTAGTTTTTATTTCTCATCTCTTTCATCTTCACCCACCTCTTGTTTCACTCCTTGTCTTCCTGTCCCTCCAGACTTCCTGCCCTTTGCTCTTTGGTTTTTCTTCTTACCTTTCTGCTGTCCACGGTTAGTTTTGGTTGTATACATAAAAGATCTATTCTTCCAGCTGTGCTTTCATTTAAACACTGAAAACCAACAAGGCACTAAGTCTGCACCCTGTAGCCAATGAGATACACAGTTCAGTCTGTTTCCTAGTTCCCTTGTAAGTCTCCACTGATAAAGTAATTAACTAGAAAGAAAATAAACCAACCTGCTCTTGACCACAAGTGACCTAACTGACCAGCATGGCGGTATTATGACTGATTCCTGGTTGGTCTGGCCTCAAGAGAGATAAAGGGGTGTCTTACTTGTCCTAATCTGATCTGAATCAAAAATAATTACTTGATCCGTTCACTACTTCTTCTCCAAGTCTTCCAACAACTGAGGAGTTACAGATACTAGAAAACCTGTAGGACTGGACTTGGTCACTAATGCGGTATAAAACCTGAAAAGCCCAGTGTATCATAAAGACCTGAAAAGAGTTTAAACATGGAGGTTTATTAGGAAAGGCGCTATATATTAAAGAGCTACCATAAAACCGCTTTGTACCAGACAGGCATGTGGAGAGCAGCAATCTGTCCAATCCCCCTCTCACAAAAACACTAACAGATATAAAACATCCAGGAATCCTTATACTGTCAGAGAGCCAAACTGAGGGCATAAATCACCGTCTGCAGTCTGATGCTACATATTACTAGTCCTGCACACATCAGAATAAACAAAGCCACCTTCCATGAAATTTAGACGGTAGTGGGGTGCTGGAGGGGGGGGGTAAATAAATAAAAATGGATAAATAGAAGTGACCCAGATTCTGGAGAAAGTGGAGCTGTGAACCCCCCATTGGGACAGGACCATCCCAGAAGCAATTTATATCTGCTCACTGGCTGCTGAGTGGCAGAGTCTAGCTTTGCCTAAAATTACCCACTATCCCAGGGAGCGCGCCCTTGTAATTGCTTCAGTCCGGCATTAAATATGATAGATACAGCAATGATCCTGTTAGCATTGGACCCCAATCATTCATCCCTCTGTCCACAGAGCACAGATGAGGGCTACCTGTAATAAAAAACCCAGGCCTTCCTTCATCTCCAAGAAGCATCAGAGAATTGAGAATGTATCGAAATTCACCCCCCCCCCCAAATAAAATCAATCCCTACTGTGGCCTCAGTGACATATTGCTGAACGCAATCATTTTAAAGAGTTTGGGGGGGGGGGGGGGGGAGAGAGCGGTCTCTCACAGATTAAATGAAAAAAAACAACATGAGTAAATAAACAAGGAATAAACTTGTTAGCTAAACACCTGCTATTAAAAAAAACACTAATCAAATTAAAGTTAGGGCTGACCCCCTGGGGAGCAGGAGCTTGCAGCTTGGTCAACGTGACGCATGTCTGGTGGGTTCTGGGAACTCCACTGCTGGCACCATTGCCTGTGTGGCCCTCACCAACGCAGAGATCAGCACCACCCTGTGGCAAAGACACACCTGCCCCTTGTGGCACAACACAGCATGTGGCACAACCCTCCAGACCTCCCAGTCCCACTCACTGGTAGAGCCTCGCCAAGTAAAATAATATTACTGCAGCCCACAACATAAACACAGTCCAGCTATCAGTTTCTAAGTAAGGCACTGACAGCAGCGGTACTCAATAAGAAGGAAGTGATATTCCCCTCCAGTGATTTGGCCAGCCAGCCAGTGGGATTCATTGGTGATTTTCTTCTTCCTTGTTTTCAAGAAGGCCAATTTCTCCCTTGCAGGACATGCTGACATATCTACACACATGGGAAAGTGTGCCCATAAGACACTCAACAAAATTCTACATCTTAATGCCAAGCTCTACCAAGAAAAAGCACCCTTTTCCTCACCCCTTCTCTCTAAAGTTTCTTCTCAGACATTGGAGGGTATCTATCCAACAACACCACCCCCTCTCCTGGGCCAAGCTGCAGAAAAAAACAATAGTGCTATCTGGGCTGAGGGACTGTGGTTTAAGCACAAGCACAGGCATTCATTCCAAGGGGAAGCACAAAAAAAAAAAAATCAACCTGAAATCAACCCAAAGACCCATAAAAAGCTACACTAAGGTTTGGGATTTCACAGCATATTTTTTTCTCCTTTTAATTGTTCTTTTCATGAGAGATCACCTGTCAAATCACTGTGCGAAGCTGGCAGCAATTTGATGGCCGAAACCCAGTGGACTGAGTTGTGCAGCACAGTCAGGCACTATGTTGATGTGCTGTATTCCACCGAGATAAAAAGCAGGGTCACTCGGAGATAAAGGAAGTGGAGAGCGAGAGTGTTTTTTTTTTCTTTTTTCTTCCCCAAGCTCACTCATTAGAGCACACTGTGCTCCACACGCACCAGGGAGTTACTGCACAGTCCTGTTTGATCATGTATATGTCTAACCTGTTTCGCCACTATCTCACACGGGAGCTCAGCCTCACATTATAGCCACTGGGAGACGAAGGCAATTCACAGTAGTGTAGCTGAGAAACAAGCCCGGGAGGAGAGAGGCCCCAATTAAAGACCACATTGAAAAAAAATACTCAACGAGAAACTAGAAACCAACTGGCCCGCTTTAAATTGTCTGCAATACAACTCCAGTCATGTTCTGTGACAAACAGGCTTCCTGTTAGGAGTGCTAATTTCTAAAATAGAACTGCTGAAACGTTTAACCTTGCAGAACTAATTAGTCAATTAAATATGATCCACCAATTACAATGCAAATGATACAATATTTACGTATCCTTAATATCCAGTTATCTGTAAATGTCTATCTTCCTCAGCTATGGGAACAACTGAAAATAAACATGCCACTTAAAAAGAATAAAAAAACTTCTGTAAGCTAAATTAGTGTTATTAAGAAGCAAAAAAATTATGAGAACACATCTGTAGAATACAAAAATCACACCGCTGTAGAATAACAATAAAAATGAGCATGGTTTGGTTTTCAATTTAAATATAGAAGGATATATTAGGATATGATATAGGATAGGATATATAGTATCACTAAGCTGAGTATTTTGAGTTTTTCACAGTTTAGCTCTACAGAGTTTCTCTTTAGTTCAGAATCTATCAAGGTGGAACAGTGTTTCACCCTCCCTCCTGGCCTCCTTCCTCTCCTCTACAGTTCACTTTCAACCCCCTCCTCTCCCTCTGACCTGTGGCTGTGCTGAGCTGGGCCTCGCTCTGTGACTTCACCACTCTGCCATTGCTCTGGTAACAGTCCGTCTTCAGCTTCTCCCGCCCCCAGCCATGGAACTGCGGGGCTGGATTGGTCGCCGTCACGGCTACCTTGGAACTGATGTGGGCGGAGGGCGGGGGAGGGGGCGGGAGAGAAGGAAGTGTAGGGCCACCTAAAAAGTCATCATCCTCATCATCTCCGATGTCCCAGGCGTCGCTGGTGCTCCGGGCAAACTCGTGAAAACTGGAGGCCTTCTTGGATTTGATGGACAGTGCGTTAGTCTTGGGGCCATCTTTTAAAAACCTGCGAGGAGACAGAGAGAGCTGGTTAAGAAGCGCTGGCATGCAGCAACCATTAAAAAGCACTGGGTGAAGGAGCCACTTACAGCAATGCCTGATTGTGGTATGACCTGAAGATGAAAAAAGGAGAAAAGAAAAGTAATTGGGGGCAGCACAGTATTGCAGCTGTAAGCATCGCTCCCTCGCAGTGCTGGGGTTCTATGTTCAATTCTGGGAACTATACGTGCAGAGTTTGCATGTGTGTGTGTTTGTTCACGTGGGTTTCCTCCAGGAGCTCCAGTTTCCTCCCTTCCACAGTCCAAAAACACACTGGTGAGGCTTCTGGGATTACTGACCCTGGTGAGAGTGTGTGTGTCTGTGTCTGTGTGTGCCCTGCAATGGACTGGCATCCCGTCAGGAATCAGGAATGAGGGTGTACCTGGACACACATTCATTGCCAGGATAGGCCCCTGCTCCCCCACAGCCCTGGAAGAAGCAGTTAATGCAGAAAATGAATGGTGAGGAAAGTAATTGATCTCATTAGCATGGAGAAAAAATGGGAATTCCAATTCCAACTACTTTGTGTTTTAGAAACACTGATACAATTTTCTGTGGTACTAACATTTCAGTAGACTAAACATTAAAATGTAGTCATTTCATATGTTTGCTTAATTCTGGACTCCTTAGATTTGATGTACAAAAACATATTTTCCAGTACACAGTTCCTTGTATACAAGGTCCAGTGGCGCACCTTTCATTGATGAACACTCTCTCTCATCCCTGCATGTCTTCGTTTTGAAGTCAGAGTTTGGTCGGTGTGGCTTTTTATCTCCAATCAGAATTGGATAGCAGAACAGGCGTTACCAAAACACATCAAGCGGAATTGGGGAACAGCACTGGAATGAGCAAGACTTTCTTGGCAGCCAGGAGTGAATCAAAACAGGATGTGAAAAGACCTTGGCATGGCTCAGGCTTTATGATAATGATGATAATAAATACATTTAAAAGAAGCATCTCCTTCCACACTGTTACATCAAAGGGGTTAAAACAAGAGCAGCCCAGCTCATAACACATCCTGTGTACAAAGCTTCAAACAATCTTCAGGTAACAAGAGACTAAAGGCAGGTATGGATATCATAGGGAAAAGATCTATAGGTAATGGAATACACACAAAATGAAACACATATATATGCATGCACACACATACACACATATGCCCATAATGTAATCAGACTGAAGCACAGTTTAAAGAGAATTAAAACCACCTGACATGATTCCATTATCTTACAACCACACAGACAAATGGGCAGTCAAGACATTTGTAGTTACTGCATGTCCAGTAATCCAGCAAATGGCAAATTTCACTGCTAATTTACAACAGTATCACCAGAAAACACTTAAAGCTGGCAAAACAAGGATCCAGGGGGACGCCAGACCAACAATATGTTGTGTTTGTCGGTGCTAATCAGATTTGAAATAGGCTACCTATGAAATAATTCAGCTGAGAAGGAACACCTAAAGGTTAATTCCACTTTGAAAAGTGGGGAAAAAACAATGTTTCAGCTGTAAAGAAGCCTTAATCTGTCACCTAACACCTCCAGAAGGCTTAACCAGCTGAACTGTTGTCATCACTAAGAAAATACCTCCTAGGAGATATGCATCTGCTTTCCTGAACGCAGCCATTTTTATTCATTCCCAGGAGAATCAAAGATCACACAACGCATTTTCAAAAAACACAGCTCAACCTTCAGGTAAGCACAAACATCAGTGACAATGTTCAGAAAGTTCTTTAAAGTCCTCTCAAACACTTAGTGCCCCACTAAATGAAGTGATTAGCTTCATTTGGGATTTAAAAATGCTTTGTGAGTGCTCTGCACCACTGAGTGAAGAATTCAGACGCCCACTGACTTTTTCGTCACCAATAGTGTATCCTGGGCCTTGGTTCCCAATCCTGATCCTTGGGAACTCCCATCCCTTCTGGGTTTTTTCCCCCAACAAGTCCTTAATTGCAGACTAATTGGCTTCTATTTTCTAATCAAGGCAGTCAATTACGTTTTCGCTTATTGGGATATCCACTCTGCATATTTGCCTGACCATTACAAACGCCCCGGTATACAAGACATGAGACTTGGATGAGAATTCAGAACTCCATCAACATTAAGGTAACATATAAACATAAAATTATTTGTGTCCCCCTTAAATTACAACACTGCTCTACTGCCCTCTCAGCTCAGAATTCCCACAGCAACTGTTCTCAGTACTCAAGTACATTATTTTGCTTTTAATATTAGTATATTCCCAATGTGAGCAGGTGTCCAGTGCAATACCAGTCTGAATCTGGTGGTGACCGAGTACTTGAAGCTTGAAAACAAATATTGTTTACAGCCTCAGTCGTTCAAACACTAATTTTCAACCATCTTCCAGCCCAATTTCATGCCATTTTGAATGTCTCATTTTGTGTCTCACTGTCCTGGAGTGCATGAAAGCTTCCATTCTCCAACAAATAGCCCCTCACCAAAGACTTGATCATGCTATAAAAAAAAAATTTTTAAAAGGGCGGAGCGGTGGCTCTGTGGCTAAGGAAGGTTGTAGCTGGAAGGTTGCTGGTTCAAATCCTGTGGCCGGCAGAGGAATCCTACTCAGTTGGGCCCCTAAGTAAGGCCCTTAACCCCAATGGCTGACCCTGCGCTCTAACCCCAAGCTTCTCTCCCTGTCTGTGTGTCTGTGCCTCTGTGCACAATGAAAAGCAAGCTGGGGTATGCGAAAAGACGAAATCGTAATGAAAGAAATTGTATATGGCTAATAAAGTGATCTTATTTCTCTCTCTCAACCCTGAAATCTGGCTCTTCTTCTGGCTCAATAATGTGCAGTGCTGCCACCTAATGGCTCACCTCGCATTTATTTTTACTTTAGACAAAGCGCATATACTGTGTGTTGATGTACACAGCAATTTCATGTTAGTGCACAAATGAATCTGCCGTGGCTCAGCTCGGTTTCATCCCTGTGGGTGCTTAAGCCAAGGAGCACCTCTGGGGGGGGTCTGATATTAAATCAAGGCTAAGAAGGCATCACATCTGCAGCAGGGTTTTTCATCTCTGTGATAGGTCAGCTCAGCAGCTAAGGACAATGCCTTTTGGAGCCGACAGCTCTCATTCCTAGAGCACATCAGATGAACAGTTTTAAATACAGAATAGAAAATGAGTCCAGGGGAGCAATGCCCCCAGTTCGCCTCAGCTCTGAAACCACCTTTTCTTTTCAAAAAGAAAAACAGTATCTATGGTTTCAGCTTTCCTTCGTTTTTACATGTGTGGGAACATGTATATACCCTACATACACATGCAGAACCCCAAAATCAATCTGTCCCTGAAGTACAGTATGTAATCTGAAAACAAAAGGGCTTTTATTCCAGAGCAGAACTGTTTATTGTTTGTGTACAGAAAACAAAGAAAAAAAAACATTTTCATCAACCAACCAGACAGGGTTACAAGCAAGGTGAATAAAACATGTACACTTTTTGCACATGAAATTCTCATTTGGCACCTGTTTTATGCAGAGGAAAGTTAAGCAGAAACCCCTTTAGCACCCAGGCTGCCAGACCTTTCAGTCCCTTGACAGTGATGAAAGGGTGCAGTTACAATGGTGAAGGAATTTTTCACTTCTCCACGCGATCTGCTGTCTAGCGTGTCACCCTGCTAGCTGTTCACTGAATGTAAAGTGCTCTGGGATCTTTTTGGGTGAGAAGTGCTAGAGAAATGCAAGGATTTACCATAATTATACAAACCAGAGGACACAAGTAACTGTCTTGGAGTGCATTTAAAACACCTTTTAAGAACCAAAGAGTTGTGAGAGTATGTAACACCAGCCTGGCTTTTTTTCCCCCCAAGAAATCGCTAGATTAGTTCCCTGGATCAATGAGCCACTAACTACTGAGCAAGCTACCATTTGCCTTCACTCAGTCGTAACTCTTCTTATATTCCAATTATTATTAATGAAGAGGGCTGGGGAAATTGTGAAGCATCAGAAAAATACATTTTTAATCTGCCCAGGAGCAGGCCAGGTGTACATTCACAGAAGAACACGTGCAGAGCCCCATCGTCCTTCAGCACAGCTGAGCTGGCGAAGACACTCGGCCAAAACTCTGGCCTGATTTATGTCCAGCTCTGCACACGCATAGCTGTGCTTCACTCTAGAGCACGGCGCTTAAAACTGGGAGGGACCTTGCAAAATGACTCTTCAGAAGACATCCCACACGTGCTCATTAGCAGAACAGGAGCTAATTAATCTTCATTGGCCACATGTTGTCCTGCGTCTATTCCCTGAGATAAAGCCTGTCCCCGAGCAGGTTCTGAAATCAATTACCCCTCTCCTCACTGCATTCTGCTGCCTTTAGAATGTGATGCTCCATTGATTCCACACAACTTTTGCTCCAGCCCTTATAATCACCGCAATTAACTCCTGTTCAATGGCATTACGATCTCAGTGAAGCCTGCGGACTCAGAGAGCATTGCAGGTTTACGCAGGAAACAACACATGCTGGTCTGCTTTTCAATGGGGGCAAGACAATTGAGTGTAACTTCGTAAGTTTCGAGATGCAAAATGCATCCCTGCCTGCACATAGGATATATAAAAGTCTTGTAGAGTACATGATCATCTGCATCTGGCCCTACATGACGCTCTAGGTCAGACTGCCAGCCACTGTTATGTTTGTGTCTGTTCCATATTATGAATGGTGTTTTGTCATAGTTTACCCATCACAGATATCTCAAAGACTCTCATTTTATTAAGACAGAGTGCTATGCACATTAAAAGAACATCACAAAGATTTTTGACCTTTCACTTTGTAACTTTCGGAAAAGTTGTAACACTTGGCGTTTTACTGTATTTTAATGCCAGCGTACAGATAAATAAATAAAACCGTTTTTCCAGTCCAGTCTGCATTTACCCAAGACCACATCCCCACAGTTCCCTGCACAACTGACTGCCATGCTCAGCCATATGACACCCACACACAACTTCCTCTCAAACTATCTAAAACTCCAGCCTGTCATCAGCTAGCATTTTCCCTTCTGTTGAAATTCAGATCAATGTTCAATGCCTTTGAATCTATATTCAAATAGTTGCAACCTCATTACCATACAGTTTCATGGGAGGAAGTTTGTCGCCAGTGAAATGAGAATCTTTCTGACCTTTCTCAGCACATAGAAGGTTCATGATGATAAGCTGAGACAGTTCTGACACAAGATGGTGCCCCTCCCTACTGTCCTGTACTGCTTCTGCACTGAGCAAGCATGCACTCTTTTTGTTAAGGTCTCAACTCCAATGACCCTTTTCTGCAAGATTAAAAACCACCTGATGCAATGCAGCAAAATAATAATAACACTACTAAATCCATGAAGAGAAATTGCATCCTTTCTAAAAAGACTTCTTATTCTTGAATCTGCTATACACAATAGTATACTCCTAAAAAAGATGCAGATTAACAATCTCGTGAGATTTAAGGTTGAGTCTTCTAGATATTATTGCATACTCATCCTATAATTACCTTGTACACACAGAGCATAATAATAAATAACTATATAGTGATGGCTGGGTCTAAACAAGATTCATTCCCATGAAGTAGCTTCTTGCTCTTAAAAGATGTTTGTTGTAGGACATGTATAAATGTCCACTTCACTTCTCAAAGTTAGCAGATGAGCCCTAATAAAAGCAAAAAAGCAGACCATGGCTGTTAACTAAACTCAACATTGGCAACCTTGGACAGCTGTTTCACCATAAGCATAATTCTGAAAGGGGTTCCTTGTACAACAGAAAGAGAGACATCCGCATGCTATGAACATGGTGCAAACTCACTGAAATAAAACTGTAATGAAAAAAACACCAACAGGATTTTGAAACCATGCACCCCTGAGTGGCTGAACATCACCAGATGCACATGCAAACAAAATGTATTAATATCATACACATCTCTGATATAGCACACTTACGTTTTATGTATTCTTGGATCAAGAGGAGGGTGCTGAGCTCCATAAACAGGCTGTATACTGCAGGAGAAACAAGGCAATAGGCAGTGAGCACAGTTGTGCACATGGGAAAAAAAAACTACCAGATTTTACATTCATGGTCAACACTGCACTTTAACTTCAACAGTCCAAGAGCAGATGGTATTGTAACTGTGGGCTGTTGTTAGGCTGGACAGAAATAATTGGTCTCAATTAAACCAGAATGAAACGGATCTTTTATGCACACATCGAACATGTCCACACACCAAGAACCAGAAACAAAAAAGCTGCTAGGTGTGATGGCTAGCTCTTAAAAACTGCAAGGAAAACAGTAAATGGATCTTAAAATATAATCTCCTGCCTTGTAAGAACATAAAACATTAGTGTTTCAAACAAGAGAAAGCCATTTGATTAATTCTGATCGCTTGATTGCTGATAACTAATTAACACATCATACCTGCAGGCGACTGTGCTGCTCTGTATGGCAGTCACTACTAAGCACTGGTGTGATAACACTCTTCACCTTTAGAATTATCTAACACTTTAGTGTCTTCTGCATATCTTCATGGTTTAAATTAATGCCCTTGCCACTGAGGATGACAGACTGGGACTGGGATTATCGATGACCCTGTGACATAATGTTATCCCTAATCATTCCGATAGCAGCAAAGCATAAAAACCTGAAAAAAAGCCTACTGTAATAAAAACCCATGGGAAAATGAACTTATATTTGTGCGAGCAGGTTAAATCCATGTAATCTATAAAACATACGACACAGTAAACCTTTTAATTCTGCCAAATGGAAGGGATAATGCGTGGGCTATGAGCATATGTGCAGCACTGACATCTCCTGAAGCCCTGCCTTTTACGAGTCTGTGTGAACTAAGCCCAGCAGCACAGTGCTCCAGAAAGCTCCTGCTGCGGAGCGCAGTACTGTATAGTGAGGGATTCCTACAGGAGAAATGGCATCAGTGCCACTACTAACCTCTATTACTTTCAAATACAAAAGATCTGCCCTAACCACAGCACACAGCCCACAGGAGCTGATCAACTGCTCTCGCCCTCATAGGCAGATTCTGCCCTTTTCTTTTCCCATCACTTCCTCCTTCAGTCGCCCCCTAGCAGGACCACAGATAAATCAAAGTCGTGATCCTCCGTGTCCCCCTCCGGGACCCCTTCCAGATAAAAGGGCCCCCTTAAGGGGGAACCTGTGCAATTTCTAGAGGAGCCTCTCCTTAGCAAGAAACACACATGACCTTCTTGGGGGGCTGTTCTCCTTATCCAGACTAGGATTCCTGACTGACAGTCCACAGACTATGAAGGTCGATGGAAAGCCTTCTTCCACACTGACCGTCAATATAGGTGCACCTCGGCTGTGTGCTTAGCCTCCTGCTGTTTTCCTTGTTTACTTACAACTTAACTGAATTGATTCTCTTTTCCTGTTCTTTTTCAAACCTACAGTGTATGTTCTTATCCCATTCCTTCCCATAATAAACCAGGCATGCAAACATACATTAGCATTAGTGTTCTCTCATTTTATCTCTCCCCGTTTTTCCCCACTCTTCCTCTCTTGCAAACTATATCAGCGCCTCAGAAATCTGAACAACAACAAGAAAGGTCAAAAACAACTTGAGATCGTACTTCTGTGTTTAGTAGTTTCTTGAACAAAGCCAAGGTATTAGTTTTGACATAGATGGGTGGATAACTTGTTCCATACTCCTGCAACCCTTTGCATAAAGACATGCCTCCAGCTCTTGGTTTTAAAAACACTTCCTCATAAATAACAATGCTGCACAATTCAACTATTAGCACCTCATATATTAAAATAGCTTATTAACTAACATTGCACATAAGAAAGCAGAGTTAAACTCTAGTGGGTTAAATTAAGGACATAATGTTCCAAGACTTATGTTTGCCAACTCTTCATTTGAAAAAAAAGATAAAAAATGTTAGAGAATACAAAAAATAAAATTAAACATCACAAACAGTCCTTTTACTTTATGCCATGGGTCTAATTATTCTCAGGCTTTTCAAAGCAAACCCCTTCACTAATCTCAGCATTTTTATAACCCACTTCTAACAGAAACACTAGAAAGAATTCTACTAAGAGTATATTTTGTTCTAATTAAACTTTACTTAAAGTAACTCATCAAAAGCAGACATTAGAGGCCATGTATTAATAAGTGATGAGCTGAGACTCAGCAGAAAGAGACGGTGGAGAGGCTATACAGGCAAAAGCAGCTTCTGTGGAAAACTCCAGGGACAGAAGACAAAGGTGATACATTCAGACAGGGCATTATCCAAGAGAGAGGACAATAATGATAATACTGAGGGACACATTGCCCCGCAGAGTCCCCTGTCTCCAGAAATGAGGAAGTGGATGATGCAGGTTAAACCCCAGGAGACACTTTAATAGCTCAAGGGGAGACACTTAAGAATGAAAACGTTTTTCAACTCCAGTTTTGAACCAACTGAGAGAAGAAGTGAACGTGCTGGGCTGTCTTAAGTCCTTTAAACACAACTACTTAAAGTTTTTAGAAGTGAGTTTCAGAAAGAATTTTTATTTTTCTGCCCTGATTCAACAACAGAAGGTGAAATTCTCCTCACTCCGGTTTTCCATCTCCTTGGCTGCCGCTATATCGTACCTCTGCCAGCACCATGCCAGGTCTGTGCGGCTGCCCAGGGCAACACAGCTGTGAGCACCTGCAGGGGACAGAGGCTGACAATCAGACTAACCCTGCCCTGGCAATAAGGGCCCTTCTGAAGACTCCAGAACACCCTGCTGCAGAGTCTAAGGCTCCGGACAGAACAGAACTACACTAAAACTCACTAGAAGGATTAAAAACCGACATGAGTCTCTGCATCGCCTCTCTGTATTAGGCCTACCTGTTACGCAATGATACTTCCATTTCAAAACATTCCTACATTTGAATAGGACTGTAAAATAGAACACAAAAAAGGGGATGGGTGTTAACGATCCCAGTCCTCATTTGCCAAGCAAATCCATGCCTTTCCTTCCTTCCCATGATGTGCAGAGTAGCCTGCTAAATGCACATTTTTTACTGCTATTCCTCACGTTTATGTGATAAAGCTCCCCAGTCATCGTCATTCTAAACCCGGCCAGAAATCACCATGCAAGGAATGCATGCAATACAACTTCCCTGTATTCATAGAATTTAATAATCTCAGGAGCAATGGTTCCCAAGATTAGCTAATGCATTGTTCTTTCATCAATATACCGTATTAGTTGCTTTGACCAGTCAGAAGCAGTGTTCATTTTTTTCCTGTCTCAAAGATTTTAAGACAGTAGTTCTGATGGGCTGGTACTCTGCAAGAGCTGGCAGTGTGTCTTATAACTACGCAATGCTCTTATCGACAAAGTCCCCCGGGAGACAAGCAGGCTTAAACTACTCCTAATCTCCCCGAGACACTGAGGGAGTCTGGCACATCTCTGCTGTGAACAAATTGTGCCTGTTCTCCCCCCACCAGCTAACCGACTGCGACTTGATAGCTTTCTCCTCCCTGCATGGAACATCACACCACATCAGTCCCTCCTCTGTTTCTCATTTGTGCTGCAAGGCTGCAGCTGCAGTTCGCATTCAAAGATCACAGAGTCACGGGCTCAGTTTACTCCATTCAAGCCCTGCCTCCGACAGACACCAGAGGGGCTCTTTCCTTTAACAGTCATAAATATCCCACTGGAACGCCAACATCCGCCAAGCTTGTCAAAAGCACAGACAAAAAACAAACAAATACATACATCCAAACTCTGTTTGTTAACAAGGATAAGCAAAAGCAAATGAAAAAAACTCTCTAGTGATAAAATATTTAAAAGTTCCATTGATCTTGATTGCCCCACGCTGCAGAGCAGAGATGCCTCCTCAAATAAACCAATATGCATAAATGCACAAAAAAGCAAACATGTACTTCTATTAAAGAGGCATGAGAAATTAGGCGTAATGTACAAAATCAGCATAATTGGAAGTGGCAGATTCTTTTTTTCTAAAGTGATACAAGAGACAATCGCCCAAGGGAATCAACACAGAATGAAAGAGCAGCAAAAACGTCTCTCAGCTCTTCACCAGACTGGTTCTCTTCTGGGACACTTCTGCACTTAGACGCTGCAGTCTGGATCAGCACCTGTAATGAAAAACTGTCTGAAGCTGCAAGGGGATATCGAAGACCACTCCTGGATATTCTGTAGCTCAGTCATTTTTCACCAGACAACTCCAAGCAAATATGATCCACATCAGAACTGACTGAGAAACAAAAAGAGCACTGCTCTCATTTGGTAGCAGTGTTATGGGACATCCCAGCAGCACAGATCAATAGCACTAGAAGACTTGAAATGTGTACATCATGCGTCTCTGGCAGCTCAAGCGGCACAAATGTTCAAACTTTTAATGCTTACTAAAACGTTTTTCAGTTTTAATCTTCAGATAACGTCTTTCTGGACTCCTCCCAGACAGGAGGAGACTGGCTAAAGTGCAATTCTTGAGCTTCCCTAAAATCTCCAGATTTACCAGGGATGAATCATCTCCAAATAAATGAGCCAGGCACTTTTTCCCCCTCAGAAAGAAAAAACGTGAACACTGTGATCGGGGGGAAAAAAAGGCAATGGTTAGTCCTTTTCTTTGCAAACCAGATATTGCCCATCAGTCCTTCCTCACCATACACATCTCTTCCTGGCCTGTATTCACCATTACAGAAACATTACATTCCGACACAATGACCTTTTTTTCCTCATAACAAAGGCCAAAACAAAGCAAGCCGCAGTTCATCCTAGTTCTTGAGCAACAAGATGGGAATAAAACCCATCACTCAGCAGTTTGAACTGTACCAGATTTTATAAGATGCAGACTCTTGTACATAAGCCAACACCAGACGCTGGATATTTCACGCTTGTCCACTTATTTGGAGTAAGTGCATAAATGGACATGTGGTTCCTTATTTTTGCTGTGGCCAATGTGATGGAAAAGTTCCCAATCCATAGCAAATGAATAATATGGGCTATTTGCCCACAGGAAAAACCAGACTAATGGTATTAAGAAAACAAACACATACTTATTTGTTGCTCCTATTCCGCTAATGAAACAAGCAAAAATAAAATATCTACAAGACAGTTATTTCCAGCCCTTGCATTGAACTGCACAGTGGGAGGCAGAGGGAACAGGTGACCAAGTGTGATATTTCCTGAAAGGTCACAAAAGGAAAGAATATTTCAGGGCGCCAGCCTTGCACCTGTCTGCAGAAAGATGTTTCTGCTCCTGTATCGCACACATCTCTGATATAGATGGCCCAAACGTGATCAGCTGGCTGTATTCTGACACTCTGATCACTGACAGCTACTTCAGAAAGATAAGCCATGCCAGAATGCACTGGGAGGCTCTGTGTTTGCAAACAATGATAAAGAATTGAGAAGGCCTAAACGGAGCCAGGGCTTCAGTGAATGTAGTGCCTCACTGTGCGGCAACGCTAAGAATGTAAATGTAGCGACTTAAAACTAAAAATTGGCATTAAAAAATAAGTACACTTGGAAACCAGGCCTCCACAAAAATAACAGGCAACATGGCTGCAATAGATGCTCCATCCACTCAAAAAGGAAAGACCTGATGGGACCATTGACAGCTCCAGCACACAGCCTCCACATACTAGAGCACAGAATCTAAACCGCTGGCCCCCTCTTCAGCTTCTGACACGTCAGACAGCAAAAGGCCTATGCAGAGCAAACTCCACCGCAGCACAGGAAGTGTGTATTCGACAGAAGACACAATTGCCAAAGATAAACGCAGGAGGGAACTGAGGGAAACTGTGAAAGCAGAGAACCTGCGCAGCAGACTCTTTGGTAAAACAAGAGTGGATTTCTATCAGGGTGTAAAATCCTGTTGCACCTAATACTGGACAGAGGGCAGTGGCCCAGCTGTGCACATTACCCTACAGATCAATTGCATACTAATGCAATTTCATTTTTCTTTTACCTTATTCACTACAGCACAACAGTATTCTATTCTTATATAGTACAGTGAAGGCAAAATGTCCAAATCGACTATTTCATGACTATAACAGGTTTTTCTATTTAATAATTATGTTATTCAAACTAATCAGGTCAAAAGAAATCCTTACATTTTTGTTATACAGAATTTTTATTTCATTGACTACAGCAAACGTCCAAAGTACAGTATCACAGGTGTGCATAAAGAATTCATTTTTTCTCTCGCCAGGTGAATCACTCTTTCCCTTCTCCCACACAGTTCGGTTTAATTTTAACGTTCTTCAATTTGAAGAGTTAATGAGAGGCTCACGTTCAATCCCAGTCCAGAAAAACGCAAGTGAAATAGGCAAATCAATCTACAAGCATCGAAGCATAAAGCACAAATAAAAGTCTGAAATGTTTTTCAGTGTCAGTCTTCTTTGAAATCCGTTGCTGCCTCTGGGCTCATTTTTGTTGAGCAATGAGCGTTTGAAGTTACAGCACAATACACAACAGCTCCTACACGAGTTATATACAGTATATAGTGAAAGGAAGAAATGACTTTATTCAGAATCCCTCTGCACTTCTGTTTACTATTATTAAATATGAATATTTTTCAAACGGAAAAACTTAGTTTAACCGCAGCGTGGCTTTGCTTGGTGGTAAAACATGAATTGCATATAGAAACGAAACTGAACCTTACCAGCAACCCCTAGTATGCAACAGTTAAAACAGATAAGCATTTGCACGTATATCAATTAAATAAGTTGAAAATATAAATTCAGTAACCTATTACCAGTACATTTCTTGATATAATTAACAAAAAATAAATTTAGAAATACCGGGTGTATTTTATGTTTACAAAAAATGAAAACATGACATATGCTAGACAGCTGTTCTTTGGCAGAATTAAACCTGTAATAACAATATTCATTGTTACGTTTTTGTTTTTTCATGCTTTTATTTAAAAATAACTTCAATTGTTTTGTGGGTTTTCTGAAACATAATCACATTTCATTGCCAGAGCAAGATGATATTTATCAATGTTCACCTGGTGTTCCAAAGGTGAAGTTCACGAAGTGGTTTCCTCTTAACCTTTAATCTAAAAGCTAAGATGCATTCTATTATTACTAGAACTATTACGTTTATTTTTTACAGACAGAGTTTTCCTTGTGTTGTGGCCAGCAATGTCAGTGATGCACAGTATCAGAGAAACCTACCTCCCCGGAACCTTGGTGTTCCTCTTCCAAAACTGGATTTTGTTATCGGTTGTCATGCTCTGAGAAATCCCCGATTCTTTTCAAGCAAACACTGGATCCAAATTCTTAAGAGCGCTGATAAAAAAAATGAAAAGTTGTTGAAAACTCAAAGTGAAAATACTGTTGGAGTTATTATTTTATATTAGCAGAAAACAGAAAATACAGCACTGGGAGTCGCCATCTTGGAGTGTTGTAAAGAGCTGGCTCCTGATTGGTGGAAGTGGAGGCAGGTGTCAGGAGGGGACCAATCATAGGTGTGGTTTCCGCTGGCTAGGGAGGGGTTTGCTGAGGATTGACGTCGGTATCGTTCCCCCACAGGTGCCGTCAGCTTTAACAGGTGAGTTCTGACGTCAGATTGTGAGTCGGATTGTGATTTTTCCTTTTGTCCTATGAACCGTTCATTTTTATTGCCTTTAAACCTGTTGAGCTTTACATAGAAAGTAACTGAGCTTCGTTTAAAAGTCGTAAAAGAACAGTGTTCTACCAATTTAGTTTTTTCCTAAAATATTTGAATATTTATACCATTACAAATGGACTGAATATATTGATACTGAATTAAATGAAATGTAGAGAGAGATTTTTGTATTTCTTACTATTGCACATATTCAAGAATGGCCTGTGGTTTTACAATTCCTTCTAGAATTTGGTTCTAAATCTGGGATTACAGGATTTCTGCATGCTTCCCAGCCAGAGCGATCATTGGCAAACACTGCACTGGATCCCTGGGTAATGTCCACCATGAGTGAGGATTATCTCCTGCAGTTCTCTATCAAATCACCCTCTTCCTGGGTATTCTGGAAATCCCCCTAGCAGCCATGTCTGGCTTCGTTTTTTTCCTGACCATCCCACCCAACAGATTCCTCAGACATGGTATGGAGTCTCTGTCCTGCTTGTTTTCTGGTTCTCAGGAAGGATGATCCCCTCTGCCCGGTGCAAGGCTGCAGGAACCTGTACACCAGGCGGAAGGAGCTGAGCCTCTGCTACTGGACCGTGTATCAGTAACCCTAGTGCAGGAGTGTCAAGTTCAGTTTCTAATTAAATAAATTCTCTTAATTAGGCATATAATCTTTTATATCTTTTGCAGTTACCTAAAACATGAACTTCACTAAAAAGCATGACCTATAAAACACATTCCTGCCTGTTTAGCAGTATTAACAATTATACTGTTAATTAAATAATTAGACAAGCTAGATGTGAAACACAAGCCAGAAAAACTTGGCCCCCCAGGAACTGAGTTGGATGTCCTTAACGTAGTCAGTCAAAAGCAGGGATTCCTTTATATGCTTAAATTTGAAGGGTGCGTACCTCCATGTTCCTGGGTCAGGTGGTGTGGCATTGTATGACTGGATGATTTTGTTATCCACAGTCAGCTGAGACAAGGCTCTTGCCCAGGAGCTAATTAATGTCTGCATTTCTTTTCAGGCACCAGGGCTATAATGGCCTGGCATCCCAGAGATAGGGAGATTGATATTGCTTAGCCTTAGCCCTACCATTCTCAGTCACCCATTTGGAATGAAGACGAAAACCCTGAATCTTCAGAATGCAAGGCATGCGTGGGCATGTGTCTGCAGTGTTAGTAGCCCAACCAGGGAACAATAAAACCAGACTGTATTAATGGAAAAAAAAAAACATTGTCTTCTCAGCACACCTGAGTCAAACAGCATGTGTGACACCTCTGCCCATCAGGGGGCTGCTGTCTAGCAGTCACCAATAATTCCAGTGGGTGTTCAAGGGAACAAAATGAATGCTGGCTGATTTTTCTGATGACAGCTATTACCCACTGAAAGTGGTTCTCATACGGCACAACTGCCCCTGCTGACTCGTATTAGCACAGCCATGGCAAGCTGCTGTAAAGAGGGCGACAGATAAAGTTTGTGCTCTTTAGGAGTGTTAACAAGAGCCAGGTTTTCTGGCTGCGGTCCAGGCTTCGAAGGGTTGGAGGGGGTCACTTCATTTCCCCGAGAGATAAAGCATATCAGCCATTTGCAGTTATTGCTTCTAAATTATTCATTTTCTGCATGAAACAAAGGTTGGGCCTTGGGGAGCCGTGATCAGAGAACTGTTGCATACTGTCTTATGGACTAGCCTGCATGCGAACTGGATTCATAAAACAGCAGTTAATCAGAGCTTGCACACTGGCATTCTCTCTTGGTCCTATTATTTGAGAACATTTCGAGACGTATTTGTTAGTTTCACATTGGCCCTAAACATAAATTAGTGCACAAAGCACACATAACTGTATTTTAATTAGAGAAAAACTGGGAAAGTAATAGAATTATAACAGTAAAATCCATCCATCCATTTTCTAAACGGCTTTATCCAGTACAAGGTTGCAGGAGAGCTGAAGCTTAACAAGGCAAGCAACCACAGTGATTAGCACAGTAGTTAGTATTGCTGCATCACAATGCTGGGGCCCTGGGTCCAATTTCTGGGGTGCTCTCTGCATGGTCTCATGGAATTTGTATGTTCCACACACTTTTCTCCTTGTGTTCGCATGGGTTTTCCTCCAAAAGCTCCAGTTTCCTCCCACAGTCCAAAGAGAATAATTGGCTTCTTGAAAAATTAGACCTGGTGTGAGTGTTTTTGTATCTGTGTTTGTATGAGCCTTAGCCCAATTAGGGTGTGTCCTGCCTTAGGTGTGCCCATTGTCCACAGCCCTGTATTGAACAAAGCATTTAGAAAATGCACGGATATACAATATCTTTTAAATATTTTATATCTGTCTAACAAAATTGCAATACATTAAATTGGTTTGCTCTTGTAGCCCTTTTAAATAAATAACAAAAATAAAATAGTGGATGGTGTAGCTGTATTTAGATATTGTCGTGAGATATAAAAATGTATATATACTGTATATCTCAATTAATACCAAAGTGACATCAAAATGTGGCTCCTAAAATGAACACCACACACCAGAATGAGCAGAAAGACCAAATGAGGTTTACTGAAGCTACAAAAGATGTGCTTCATTCCAGCTGAATAAAATACATTGTGCATTCATGTGAATGATATTTTAAAACAGTTCATGGTAGTGTTTTCAAATACAACTGCCACCAGCTCTAAGCAAAACCCACTTTGAGAAGCTGAGGAGAGAGGAGGCTCTGTGAGTCACTAATAATACTCACTGCCACAGATCGGAGCTATATTTGAATAGTAGTCGGGGTTCCCAGGTGGTTTAACCAGAAAAGGAGTTTGATCAGAGCGCAGGTTGAGCATCATGGTTACCCGATCATGCCTGGGCTGTGTCGTCAGCTGCCGGTGGCTGGGATTCCCCAGCAAGTGGGACGTAGTTGGCATGGCACTGCTAAAGCTGAGCGATCTCAGAGCTCGTCAGCCTGTGACACAGCAGCCGCCTGCTGGACGTGGCAAACCCTCGTGAGCTGTGAGTGACAGACACATCCATCCTAACATCGGTGCCAACCTAACTCTGCAATAAGAAAACCGGGGGGGTTGCAACATGGCAATGCATGAGGATGCGTTTGGCAGGTGGGCGTGTTGGGAGGGGTTAGGCAGGGGTTTCATGCATATTCTGTAAAAATGCTGCTCTTGTCTTCAAGCACAGCAATCTCAAGCCGCAAGACTGGATCCAGGGCCAGGTACACCGCGGGGTAGCAGACTAGAGCAAACAAGCCCATGAAGCACATTTCAAAGGTAGACGTCAGCAAACAGGCAAGTCCACAAAGCACAAATAAAGATACCGAAGGAGATCCGAAGGCAAACTGGGGAGAAGGCAAAAATCGAGCACAAGCAAAAGGCCGAAGAGAAATCCAAGAAGCAAAGTCGAAACACAGGCATGATTGACAGACAAAGCAGCACACTAGAAAAAGGCTGAGACCAGCTGAGAACGCACTAAGACTGAGCGCAAGGGCAGGTCTCAAATAGCCAGGTATTAAGAATGTTCAGGTGGGACTGAACTCTAGTCATATCTCATTGTCACGGCAATGGCCTGATTGACAGGTCTGTCGTTGGTTGTGGTGTTTGTCAGTGCAGTTAGCACTACTACAGCACGAGAGGACATGACACGTTCAGGCCAACATCCTGCCTGCCTGCACGGTATAGGCGATGCAGCGGTAATCGAGTTTACTACCACTGCAGATTCCAACCTTGGGAAAGTATAATTGATACAGACACAAACAAACTCTAAAACCCTTCTACACGAGCTCTCCCCGGCTGTCTCCAGCTTGAGATGAACAAGATGAACTCATCCTCGCCTCTCACCTTGCGTCCCCTCTGCTGCACTGCTCCCAGGACGGCCTTCCTGCTTCCACAAACACAGCCCTTTCTACAGCACACTGCCATCTTTATCCTTGAAGAAAAATGGCTAGGGGACGCATTTTATTCAATTAGAACAGCAGTGAATCTGTTAAACCTGCATAAAGAAAAAGCTAAAACCGATTAAGAAGAGAAACTATAGGAGGGGAGGGAGGAGGGCTGGTTTCCAACCTGTGGCTTTGGGACGGAGGGGGGTGAAGAAAAAGGGAAGTGTCTTTCTGAGTTACCTTACTGTTTCGTATTGTTTCTTTCTCTAAGAGAAGCTGAACCCCAAAACAAGAAGAGAAGCAACAATCTTGTCACAGTGAGAAGACAGCAGAGGTCTTACCCAGACGGGTGTGTCCATGGGCTTTCTTCTGAGGTGCCACAGCCCCAGTCCTTCCTGACATTACAGGACATTACAGGTACTTTGTCCTCTTCTTCTGTAGGTGTGCAAGATAACAGCTCTATGTATCAGCATCTGCATCAGGCCCTGCATGGTGCACAAGGGGATGCTGCCATATCTGGATGTACTGCTGTCTGCTTCATTTTGATCTTGGTGCTGCCTCTCATAATTATTTTTCTATTACACCTTGGCTAGAGAGCTGCAAAAGCTGAAAAACCCATGATCCATTTTTCAGCTAAGCAGGTGCTCTGTAAACGAGACTAATCAGAGGTGAAGATCCCAGGGTTGCTGGTAATTTAACATGGACTTCTTCCCAATAGGGGCTTCTCCACGGGTGGCAGGTTGACTTCTCAGCTGGGTCAGACCTCAATGCAGCTCCCGTATAGAGCCACCTGCTGTGTCCACCTGCTTCTATACTGTTCTCACAGGACATCATCCTGTTATATATCCTACTGTTTATGCCATTAGGAGCATGAGATAGGGGTGGTTAAGATGAGATATAGACAATGTGTGACGAACATAATCCAGTAGTG